AAAAGTCACTTAGCAGTAGGAATGGGGGAGATATTCAATTCAGTTCACATTTAAAGTTAAAATGACACAACCAGCACTTTCTGAAACAATGCACAAATTAAAACACAGACACACTTCAAAATTCACATTTATCTGAATTATGCAAAGCAGTTGTCCAGAAAAGTTAAGTGTACAAAAATGCATACACTAGATGTGCGTGAAAATACATATTTTGGTGACAATAACATATACAAATGCATTACATGATAGGAAATCACAGGGCCAGAGTGTGTGGCCTCTGGGCCTGAGGTAACCCACCCTTGTTGCAACAGCCAAGGGGGTTCAAAACTTTTTGGCTAGGTAAACATTGGAGGTCAGATAAATGGGATTGAACTTTCTCCCATCTGGCCTGAATTTCTCAAAAGTGTCTCCATGACAATGGTACAGCAGCACTGGGCTTCATTGTTCCTAGTTGGGCTTCTCATCTTTTATTCAAAAAGCTTGGCTGCTCACTGGTCATTGGCACAAATCCGTCTTTTATCTGCCAGTCACATCAAATTGTGTTGCCAAAAGGGAGCGGTCAGCTTTGGTTAGAAATTGGCAGTGATAGTTTTAAGGACTGCTTGTTTGAACAGAGGCTTACAAATCAGAAGGAATACGGTTATATTTATTTATTTTATTTTCAAAAGATTTACAAGAAGGTTGTCCGAAGTACATGTGAAAAGGATCTAGGGGTCTTAGTAAACTACAAGCTTAACATGAGTCAACAGTGTGATGCAGCAACAAAAAAAGCTAATGCTATTCTAGCCTGTATCAACAGAAGTATAGAGTCCAGAACAAGGGAAGTAGTAGTACCACTCTATTCTGCCTTGGTCAAACCACACCTGGAGTACTGTGTCCAGTTCTGGGCACCACAATTTAAGAAGGATATTGACAAGCTGGAACGTGTGCAGAGGAGGGTGACCAACATGATCAAGGGTCTGGAAACCAAGCCTTATGAGGAATGGTTGAAGGAGTTGGGTGTGTTTAGCTTGGATAAGAGGAGACTGAGAGGAGATATGAGAGCAATCTTCAACAAATTAAAGGCCTGTCACAAGAAGATGGAGCAAGCTTGTTTTCACCTGCTCCAGAGAGTAGGACCTGAACCAATGGCTTCAATTTAAAAGAAAGGAGATTCCGACTAAATATCAGGAAATAGTAGGAGCTATTTGATAATGGAATGGACTCCCTTGGAAGAAAGTGAATTCTCCTTCTTTGGAGGTTTTTAAGCAGATTTTGGATGGCCATCTGTCATGAATGTTTTAGCTGAGATTCCTGCATTGCAGGGAGTTGGACTAGATGGCCCTTGGTGTCTCTTCCAACTCCACAATGATATGATTCTATAAATTTCTTGCATGAATAAAATATCAGAGCAGTGTAAAGAAAAGCAAAAGTAAGCTACATTAGAACACACCGTTGCCCTAAGGTTAATGACCAGTGATATCAGTCATGATGTAATGAAGGAAGGCAACATCTGCAGGATCATAAGTTTGTCACTCCGATTGTTAACACCTAGACACATAAGGAGTTATGCCTATGTGCTTGGCACTGATCATCAAAACACCACCACCCATGGGGATGGGACAGGTGACAGAGGAAGGAAGGGAAAAGTGGTGAAGGATGGGTGGGTGGATGGATGGATGGATGGGGAAAAGAAATCATTTCCAAACCTACAGAGAAGTTGCTGGTAACCATCTGACCTCATTCCTATTATATTTACAACTCACTGGTCTCATTCCTGCTGCCTAATCAACCCCTGCCAGGGTTACACTTAAACTCATGATCTAACTGAGAAAGGGAAATTGATCTTGTTCACACATTAAATGCCATATCAGTGCTCACGATGTTGAATTAGTGCTGGTAGATTTCTCCGACTGGGACGCATTCGAAATTGCAGTTGGGTTTCAAAGAATCAATTAGGGCCCAGTGTGTGAGAGAGTTAAACAACAATTTGCAATATTGTAGGGACTCCATGCTAGGGCAAAGAAGGCCTTTTCTATATTTTCATTTAGATTCAAAGCCATTCAAGTGTGTGCAGCTCTTGTATAATTCGACCCAGAGAACAAAGGAGCAAAGTGTCTACAAGGCACAATTTACATTGTGCTCTCTTTTTTGAGAGCATAAGTTGCTAATGACCAGTTTCTCATCTGGTGTAAATCAACATAGTTACACACATGTTGGATTTAGGGTACATACATGTTGGATTCTGTTCATTGCAAGTATTTGACTGGGTCCATTACCATAGCAATGATGCACCCTTCTTGGATAGCTCAGTTGGTTAGAGCATGGTGCTGATAACACCAAGGCTGCAGGCTCAATCCTCATAATGGATAGCTGATTATTTCTGCATTGCAGGGGGTTGGACTAGATGATCCTCAGGGTCCCTTCCAACTCTGCAATTCTATTATTCTATGAGCCTTTAAACTCCCCTCATTCTTCTCTTTTGCCAAAGACTCCACAGATTTGACCTAATGGTCTGAATCTGTGGTCGAACCATTGCCTTAGTAAGTATCAGGGCCTCTAGTTATTGGCCCCTATGAGGCCAGGAGGAAGGCCTGAGATTCCAAGGAGGAAGAAGGCTGGATGCAAGAATCATCCTCAGATTGAACCCTGACAAAACACTGCTCTGCCAGGTACCTCTTTGAGGGGACCCCAGTAACTAGTCCCTCAAATCAGAATCTGCGATGGTTTGGGTAAATCTGGGACTGTCACTGGAAAACAGGGACACTAGAAGGATCTGTAAATGTCTAATATGGAGCTCTTGATAAGATACAGTAGTATCTGCAGGAGCACCCTACTAGAACCAGCTCCTTGAACTTAGTCCTGTAACTAATTGACAGCCTGTGCAATCCTTTCAGCAGCAGAAGTGCTAATATTGTGATGATATTCTCAGCTTCTGCTACAATAGAAGAACTTAGGAGTGTGGGCAGGCTGTTACAAGGGATGTTGGGCCTGTTAAAAGTATCCTAGGTCTGAGCCATTCAGGGCACCAGAAGACAACTCTTTTAATAGTGACCCCAAAACTGGCTGCCTGCTGCAGACATTGCAAAATGGTTGAAATATGCTGCTGTGGGTGAGCACCCTTTGTTGCCGCATACCAGGGGGCCATGCAAAGTTTCCAGAGCCTCTTCAGAGGAAATGAGGATGCTCAGTTTAGTGCAGCATCACAGCATTCATAACTTCAGTTTATAGCCTTTTCATTCTCCATCCCGGCTAGGGAGCTGGTCACCTTCAAAAATCAGTAGAACAAAACCTTTCAGAAAGTCGTTCTCGATAGACTCAGGATCTGGGAATGGGACTTGTGAAAGGTTAGTCTAGGGGTGGGAAGGCAAGGGAAAGCGCTCACTAATATGCTTTGTACCTCTATTGCTGCAATAAAAACAAGATTGAATTGCAGAAAGTTGCTGCAGGTCTTGTTTCTATATGTTCCGACGCTGTGCTCCACCAGGTCGGAATATTGTTAGCAATTCTGCCTGCAAAGGAGAACGTGGCTGAGCAGGGTAAAACATGTGGTAAATTTCTTCCTCACACTCATCTTTTAGATCGGGTGAAGGCGTTTGATTATAAAAGCATGAGAGTTATTTGCATTATGGGATTTCCAAATCCTCTCCCCCCTCCCCACCTCACCCCTACACTAAAGAGCATTATGCAAATCATCTCGCAGGGAGGCTTTGTGCAAAACGTTTCAGCTGAAGGAACAACTTTAATCTCAAACCTGGCTACTTTTCCAATTACCGCCTTGTGCCGTCTCTTGCCACCCAGTGCTTTGTAAGGGAAATCGAGCCCAGCACAGGCTCTTTAAGGGGTTCCTGAGTCATCATGTTAGATAGAACGGATAGAAATGACCCTATTCAATTTTCCACCTGCATGCGTAGGCTAATGCAGCCCTTTGAGAATAGAGAAAAGGTTAAATAAAAACCTTTAATACACTGCATGCATTTCCAAAAGGCAAGGTCTAGCAGCAGTCATGCTTTGGAAGGATGTGTGGGAAAATTTCCAAGTAAGTCCTATTCATTGCTTCTTCTTTTTTTGTTACTATTATTCCTGTCATCATCATCATGATCAGCGTCGTCATATAACGTAGCCAATACTCGTAGTCTTTTGGGCTCAGCTGTATATAGACAGCTCTGTCTTGCCACAGAGTGAAGTGATCTGCATCAGGAACATGAGACAAATGAAGGCATCTGATAATGGGGTCATCAGGATGTGGTGAGACTTGTCAAATTCTTGGACCTATCAGGCATGGTTGAGACACCATTTGGGTACTGCTTCAGGCAGCAAACATGCTTTGCACCAGCAGTGTGCACATCCATGGACTGAATTATAGAACAAATAAGTGCAGGCATATGGCCCATTTAGCAGGTAACGTCAGTGCACAGCCACAGGCTCTGTGCATCTGTACTGCAAGACACATTTGGACCCAAAGTATCCAATACATCCCTCAGTCCCACTGTGTCCATGCAGATCACAGTGTACATTTTCATTTGTGTTTCAATGCAGATGGTGGTGCAGTCATTGTCTCAAGCTGGATATCAGACTGCATCATCATGATAGACGCCAAAGTGAATGCGTGGGATTCACTGCCACAGGATGCAGCAATTGCCAGTACTAGCAATTAAAAAGTAGTAGACAGATTCATGGCTGACAGGTCTATCACTTACAGCAGCAGTGGAAAAGTCTCAGACCTCTCCATTGGGCCCTTGGAAGTCTCCCCAGGTCACACCAGTCACTGGCCATTCATTGCATCACATCATAAATGTTTCTGACAGGCTCAAATGTATTCTGGAATGCTGATATTGACTTTTGCTTGTCTGGATGGAGGATATAGAAAAGTAAGTGTTCGTTTGTTTTGTTTGTTGTGTGTGTTCCTCTGAATACAAGTTGCTGGGGAGTAACAAGAGGAAAGGGCTATTGGCTTCAAAGGTATCTGGGAGGCTGCTGCAGTTAGCAGGATGCTGGACTATGACTGCTGCTGTGCCTGGGCCGTAGCTCAGTGGCAGAGCAGCATCTGCTTTGTGTGATGAAGGTCCTAGGTTCAATCCTTGGCATCTCCAGGTAGGGAGATCCTCCTTTCTGAAACCCCAGAGAGCTGCTTCCAGTCAGTGCAGACAATACTGAACACGATAGATCAGTGGTCTGACTCGGTTGGTATAAGGTAGCTTCTTATGTTCCAATTTTCCAGTGAGCTATCCAGGGTGCTATCTGCTTTGCTAGGACTCTGGTCTGAAAGGGTCCCTCCTATGTTTCTATGCCCAATGATTTACTAAGCTAAAGCAGCCTTCCTTCACCTGGTGCCCTCTGGCTGTATTGCAGTACGACTCCCATCAGTCCCATCCAACTCAGCCTTGCTGGCTGAGGATGATGGAAGTCATAGTTCCAAAACAGCTGGAAGGCACCGGACTGGGGAGAGCTGCAACAGACCATACAATGTCAAGTACAAAAGATGCAACAATGTTAGGGGGAAGCTAAGAGATCCCCCATAACTTCAGCAGAAATAAGGCTGAAGAGAATGTGGGGCAAACTGTGTGTTGGCAAGGCAGTTACTTCTTCCGTGCTCATCCAACTCCTGAATTTGTTCTGCTGCAGACATGCCATTAGATAGTATCACCGTGTCTGAGTTGTTTCTGACAATTCTTAAATCAATACTTCCTGGCTGCTTACTGGAGATGTTGTATACTGGGAGCTAAAGAAGAAACAACAACTGCCCTGATTCAGTTAGTACCCTTGTAAGGTTGATGGCAAAGAAGGCAAAATAGCATTTCATAGAGTGTGATCTTAGTTTGTGATTCCACTGTTCACATCAAAGTTTATTAAGAGAAAGTGTGAGTCTCTCTGTGTGTGTGTGTGTGTGTGTGTGTGTGTGTGTGTGTACGCGCAATGGCTGAGAGCACACAAAAATCCAGTTTCAAATTCTTACCAAGCTACAAAACCAAGGATTGCTCAACACTTCACACAGAAATTATGTTTAGGACAGGATAAGGAAAACACCCCCTCACATTACTCTGTGACCAGTTGCAGAACAGTCGCCATGGATACAGAGGCGGAGCTAGCTGCTCTGGTACCCAGAGCGGCACACATGCTGTGCACCTGAGGCGGAGCTAGCCACCCACAGGGGTGGGGCTAGCCACCCGCGCTGAGCGTCCCAGGGGGCCAGGGCGGTGATGTCACCCCCCCCCCATGGATGATACCTGATGCACCTACCACACCCCCCTTTCTCTGCCAGTGCATGGACAGAAGAGCAGGAAGTTTCCATAGCGCTTCTGTTGGCTAGCCCTGCTCTAGAATATGTAGAATATCTCATACCTAAGATTGCCAAGGTATAACAGCTCCTCTATCCTAAATAGCAAATAGTTTCATGTGGGAGGAGATTGTCCTTCAGATGTTTGCCATAAGCAAAGACTGCACTGGTTACCAATTAGTTTCTGGGCCCAATTCAAAGTGCTGGTCTTGAGCTCCCCAGGGAGGCTCGCATGGCGCCATGTTTATATATCTTTAGGCACCAGGTTAAATTCTATCCTCTATAACCAGGCCTTTGGCCTCCAACCATCTGTGACCTTTTAGGACTGGGTGGGATGTTTTTAATGTATCCCCACCCTGGTTTTAATGTATTTATGTTGGGGAGGTCGGTTGTCAGTTGTCAGTTGCTTTGGGTTGCCTTGCACAACACAAAGCGACAAACTTAATAAATAATAAATTTAATAAATAATAAAAGGTGGCCCCATCACAACCTCTCAAGCTGACCTACTTTCATAGGTTTATTGTTGAGGTTAATGGGCCACGCAAGGAAACAGCAGGATACAAACTGGCATGTGCGTATCTGCATACACATGTGCACGCGCACACACAGTTTCCTTTGAGCGCTAAGCTCACTGTTTTCCCTAGGATTTAGCTGAGCATCTCCTGGGGAGGCAAATCTCTCAGTGATAGGAGAGCTGCATTAAATGTGACTTCATACAAAATCCGATAAGGAGTAAATCACACATTCGTAAATATCAAACACAGTTTGTTTTGGGGAATGGTTCAGCATCTTGTTTCTGGTGGTTATTCCTTTTTTTCCATTTTTTTAAAGCTTTGTCAACACCAAGTACAGTTTGTTTGGTTTTTTTGCCCCCTCCTTCTGGAAACAGTATAAGAGAAATTGTTTGTTTTTCTTCTTTAAGAGACATAAAACACTCCGCCCCCCGATAAAACTTTGCATGTCCATAAGAATGATTTAAAAGGGTTGGGTAGACTCTGAGGGTGAATTATTTGGGGGCCCAGGAAAGAAAAGGGTCTCTCTGTCCCTCTCCCTCTCTCTGTCTCTCTGTCTTAGTTATTTATGCAAGCTTTTTTCAGTGTGATATTTTTAATTGTTTGCTGCCATTTCATTATTATTGTTGATGGTGGTGGTATTTTACACTCTTTACGGGTAGGCTACAGCAATTGAAATGCAATGTTAACAGTTTAAAACTGCTTCACTTAATTTTATTTTAACAACATTATTCTTGATATAAATTGTATATTTGTCCTTGGAGTGAGTTCAACAACCAAGGAACTTAAGTAGAGACCAGATCTTATCTAGCCATCCCTCCCTCCCTCTTTCCCTTCCTTCTTCCTCCTCAAACCTGGAACTGCTTCCCAGCAAAACTGTATCACATAATACCACCTGTCTTCCTTCCTTGACAGCCCTATTCAAAGCCCTCCCTTTCCATGAAGCTTCTTGCATGAAACCTTGGTCGTCGTTCCCCACTCTCTGCATGGAGAAGAGAGAGGGGTGGTGTGAGAAACTAGCCTACTATGAAAAGGTAAAATTTGCATCCATTGCTCCACCCACTTTTCCCTCTAGCCCCACCCACAGCTGGCATGTGTGTCCCAGAACATGGTCTGGAAGAGGATGTGGCTGAAAAATATTCACCACCCCATCTAAAAAATGAGCTCTACCTTGTTGCATTTGGGTACTTTGATCATGCAATGGTGACTTTGGTAGCTGTTGATCAACTTATCCCATATCATCTTTGTCCAATAATGCTGTAGTTGCTGCTGTTAAATCATTTGCAACCTTAGCACCTGGGAATTCTCTGGGTTCCTGGCTGATCAAAAGAATGCTACCTACCTAAAGAATTGTTTGTGTTTAGAGTTTAAATGCATTGGCAGAAGCTTGACCTCAACACTGAATCACTGCTGGAGGTGCACACATCAAAACTCTTGAGTTTGGGGGGAAATAAGGAAGTGATATTTATTAAAGGAAATACATGCTTGATAGGAAAGATCCTAGTTCCTATCTAGCTCAGATGCAGATACAAAGAGCCATGCCTGCTTTTTGTTCTCAGCAGCAGCCACACAAAGATGTATCCACTCCCAAGTTTAGGATGAAGAAGAAGGGAGGAGATGAGTTCAGCAACCCTGCAAGTATCAGTCTATCTCTGAAGGGAAGGTCAACGTGGGTTAACAGTCTAGGAAACTTGGTTGCTCCTCTCTCTGTGTGTCTCTTTTTCTCATACAGATTCACCAGCCTGCAGTGCAAGCTGAGTCACATCCCAGCACTTCCAATGGTATGCAGAGGTTGTTGAGAAAATAACAATATGGCTTGGTGGATAAATTATTGGACTGACTAGAGGCATGATCTAAGTCATTTCTTGCCCATGAAGCTCACTTCTGTGGGCTTGAGCAAGTCACCATCTCTCGGTGCAAAGTACTTCATAGGTGTGTTGTAAAATGCGATGAACTTTGGAATGTTGTCCTTATCAGAAGTGTAAGGCAGAAAATATGACAGGGGTATAAATAAAGCATTCTCCAATGTTAGAAGGTTTATTAGAAGAATGCAAATGTTCACAGTATCTGCTACCTCTTTATTCATTGTTGCATAACTAAAGTCACCTCCAGCTTTTCTTCTCCCTAAAGATGGAACTGTTATTTTTCACAGACCATTTTAAGAACCTGGCTAACAGACTGTCTAACTTGTTGACATTAAAAAAAAAGTCTGTTAAATTTCTTTTGAAGCTTCCTTTGCTTCAGAGGTTTCAAGCACAGCAAATCTAGACATTCTTTACTGCAAGACCACATACACACACACACAGTTGCAATGCTGGTGAAACAGGTGTCGTAGTCAATGCATACTCTGCTTGGGACAGACACACCCAAAGCAATTCATGGAGGAGAGGGCTATCCATGGTGTCTAGCTATGATGACCATGCTCTACCTCCACAGCCAGAGGCAGTAATACTTCTGAGTAACAGTAGCCGGAAAGCACAGAAGGGGAGAGAGCACTCTTGTGCTGAAATCCTGCATGCAGGTTTCCTGGAAGAGGTATCTGGTTGGCCCCATGAGAACAGAATGCTGAGCTAGATGACCCACTAACCCAGTCCAGCAGGCTCTTCTTACATTCTTATCCCTGGAAACACTCCAATGCCTACTAATCAGGGAGAGTGCTGGCCGTGGTGCCCACATGCCACCCACAAAGGGAGACGGTGGACTCTTAGGGACGGGGAATTGACCCAAGCACACACCAGTACATCACCACACATGCAACATACTCCTGGCCACTAGCCATGCTGGCTGAGGCCCTTGGGTGGAGAGCCAGCCTGGAGAGCCACATGACTCCTATTGCCGAGGTAGAGGATGTGGTGCAGATAGAATCCACTCCCTTTGTCACCAAGTTTACCCCCACAAAACCACCCAGTTTCAGCCATTTCACCAACATATTTTCACTGGTGCAACAGCTCTGCCAGTTGAGTGCCCTGACAGTATATATTAGGTTTTACCCTGGTATATCTTCCTTTCTGCCCGTGTAGTAGGGCTTCTTCCAAATTCTGTAAACGCCCCCCCCCCGCTGCCACCCCCGCCAACAGATCTTCCGCCTAGTATTGCATCCTAAAAGGTTTAATCTTTCCTCTTGCATTTTCTAAATCTTTATAGATTTTGCAAGAGCTGGTTTGTTTAGGTCTCAGTAATTTCTAAGCCTTTTATTTCTTCCAAGGGAGTCAATCTCTCTTTATTCCAAAGCTGCTTTGTTAATGAATAAACGAAAAGCCCTAATAAAAGGTTTTGCAGAATCGGAAGCGCTGAGATTTGTCAG